TACGTACGTACTACGTACTCTATATATATATATATATATATATATATATATATATATATATATATATTAATAACAAATGTTGATCATAAGCAACATTATTATTTCTTAATATACTTTGCAATCTATGAATTGTAGGAAATGATTTTTTGTACAGCCTCTTTTTGACGAGACTGGAAGATTTTTCATGTTTCTGGAAGTATACTGTAGTAAACTTATTTGTATCACTATTGCACATTTTAGAAGTTTACTTGTCCGTCAAAGATAGTTCTAGCACTTGACGGAACGTTTCTTCTTCCAACAATCGCCGTTGTTCTTCTTCAATTTGTTGCTGTTCGGAAAGTTTTAACGCTAGTCTCAATTGTTCTGCTGCACCTTCCAGAGAATCACTATCCTCATTCTCATTTATGCCCGCTGAATTTCCAGTACCTTCAGCAGATCCAGCTGTTTCTTGATATAACACTAAGCTAGCCTGAATTGCCCTGTATTAAGAAAGATTAAATTATTTAAGCAACATGATTTAAATATTGTTAGAATTGATTTATGACAACTTTTCAAGCTTTTTAAATTATATTTAAATAGCAGCGTTAAAAAAAGATCGATTAGAACGAAGTAATATTAGTGTTATATATAATTAATGAGAATCATTAATTATATGCGATGACAAGTGCAATTTGACTTTGTTAACTCTTTCAACTATTATTTGGATATGTAACAGTCTTACAAACATAACTTATAATTTAAATAATCAATGTTTATGTGAAATGATTTAAATATAATTAGTTTCTATTGGATAATTTGTCCAAAACTAATATTTAAATTAAAATCACCCACCTGCCTGAACATAAATTGTAGCACAAAACACATGCAAAATTAATAATAAAATTAACTAAAAACAGAATATCAATAACGTTTTCTTTTACATGTTTTTATCGCGTACCTTTGAAGTTGTCTTTCTTCTTCCGTGGTCATATTAGGCGTAGTTGGTCTAGATGGCTTTTGCGCTCTTAATGCTTCCCAGATATCAACCTAAAATATAAAATATAATTTTTTTTTTATAAAATAGGATGTACACCGCCCGTCAATGATTTGAAGGGTCGTGCAGTAATCCAAACTTATCGGCTTGATTAAATAATAAATCAGGCCGATAAGTTAGGATTACTGCACGACCCTTCAAATCACTGACAGGCAGTGTACACTCATATATCATACGTATAAGATTTAATTTTTTTATAAGTAATCGTAAAATACATAAAGCAAATAATACCTCATCACGTTCACTGCCAGCTTCTAAAAGACTTTGCTGAATAGCAAATTGTAATAAATCATCTTCTTCTTCAATACTAAATTGCGTTCTAACTTCTGCACCTATTTAACCAATATTAATTAATAATTAATAATTAATATCAATAAATTGATAACTTAATTATAGAGAGAAAGAGAGAGAACATATGCTCAAGTATACAACAAAAATTGTACCTAATTTGACATATCCACTGGGTGCTTCGAAACAGACATCATCAACTAAACAAGTTATACGATTAGTTTCTTGCAAATGACCTACATTTGGTACTTCTTGATCCAAACCAAATATATTTCCAAATGTTATTCTCGCATTGAGAATATGAAATAATGGAATTTCTAAGAAAGAATCAATTATTAGTATTTTATATGCAATATATATGTATATATATATATTTTTCATATTTTTAAAATCTTACCAATTTTAACAGGAAAACCAGCTGGAAGTTGCATTTGAATAAAATCTTTTAATTTTGCAAAATGTGAACTAGATATAGCCATCAAATCTACAATTGGCATGATTTGTTCTTGGAGACTTAATGGGTAATCCTCACTCAACCATAAAGTTGCCTGTAAACAGATTGTATCAATTAATATAATAATATTACTATTAAGCATAAAAATTTATTATGCAAAAAGATCATTAAAACATATTATATATATTCTTGTAATGTATAATAAATTTTCAAGAATAGTTTTTATAATACCTTAAATTTTTGTATTTTTGTATTAACTTCTTTTGGTCTACCTATATCTCTCCCATTTAAATCAATATCTGGATCAAAGTATTCCTCAGCAGTGATATTAGTGGGATTACCTACGTTATTAAATTCTTCCTACAATATATAATTTGATTAGCATGTTTTAAATATACAATTACTGATAAAATTATTATTGGAATGAAGATTACACTGGTGGTGACAGCGCTGCAACTCTCTTGCTGCTGCTCTGCAATACCTAGAAATGATTGTAAAGGTGTCCTTGGTGCCCGAGCTCTTGCTTTATCTGTTTCAGATAAATGCTCCAATCGAGTTTTAGTTATTAATTCCACATTGCTTGCACTAAAAACTTTACACTCGTGACCGTTTACTACTTCACTTTTATCAGAACGCCATCCCCATAGACCTGCTTTATTGCTAAATCAACATAAGTAATGTTAAAATAAATGTGGTTAATTTATAAATACGAATTTACATCAATGATCATAATAATAATTACCGTTCAAAACTAATTTTATCCGTGTCTATATATGTTGTAACTATAGGATTGGTAAGCCGAGCTATCACACCTTCTTCAGATGGTTCCATTAATTGAATATTATCGTCTCCTAAAAGTTTCATATGTTCGACATAAACTTTTCTTGTTTCATGGTCTACTTCCATCATCGTTGCTCCATCATCTATAAAAACATCACATAAATTATGTAAATGGTTTGCATAATAAATGAATAATTAAAAAAACATTCACAATCTCAAAAAAGCAAGGTACAATTTTTTGTTACATATATTGCAAGATTTATATATTTATATCATATATAAATTCATTTAATATATTGCCTTGTATTATTTAATTGTCAATTTTTCAACAATGTGATTGTAAACCATATAAACCATATAAACAAATTGGAAAAAATGAGAAAAACTTTGTCATATTAATGTTAAGCATACTAAAACATTGACTAGCAATACAGTGCAAAAATTAAATGTTAGAATTATATCACCTGTGTGACGACCACCAACACTGAACACATAACTGCGATCACCTCTAATTATTATAGGTGAATTTGATGCAGCTTGCGTTAAACATATAAAATTAAATAACAAACAAATAATCGTGTGGCATTCTCAAAGAATAATAGTCAATTGCAACTTAAAAAATAGCAAAGTTGTAGAATAATCATGCGTAGATGTTAGTAACATAAAAAAAATTATTAAAAATATCTATGCTTACTTTGTCCTTTGAAGACATAACTACGATTGCCACGCTGCCAATTTGCATGATCAAAGCCTAATAAAGTTGTATCAATCCTCACATTACTACCTTGTTTATAAACCTTATAAGTATCGCTTGGACACATCCGAGATGCGAGAGGAACTGATCAACAGAAATAATGGCAGTTAACCACATGTGTTATTAAAGAAGAATTGAAATATATGTTAAAATTCAAGTTAACTTCAAACTATGGATATTAAATCAATACAGCAGACTTTAAAGATCATGTTTAAAAGCAGATATTATTAAATCTTCTGTTTCTTACCCCAACTTGTAAATTCCCATTTCATTTCTACGTAAAAATCTGGCGCCTGAAAAGAACTTTTATTACTAGAACTATCAAATTAATAATCAAGAGTGTGAGCAAATTAATCAGCTTTCATAGTTTGCACAAGAAACGCATTAGTTAATATTAGAACTTGCAGAAAACAATAGCTATTTTAGTAAAACATATTGTACGATTTGTGAGAACTGCATGTACATTATATTAATAATGTTTCACTATTAGTTATTGCATACTAACTGACCTGCTTAAGTTTGTGAAGTAACTCCGGTATACCAGCCACTCGATTACAGTATCTCTGGTAATCTCTCCTGGCAAGTACCAATTGCAGCAATTCGGGATTTCCTGTACCAACTGCCTCTTGTACCACTATAACAAAAGAAATTAAACTTGCTGTTCATATATCTGAATAAAAGTAAACAAGTTTATTAAGAATATAAACGTCTAGATAAAAAATAAAAGCAACTTACCACTCCATCCTTGAGTATTCTCTGTATTAACATTAGCTTCATGCTGTAATAGTACTACAGCAGAATCTGAATGACCTAAAGTTACTGCCAGCATCAGTGGTGTCCTTCCTCGATTGTCATGTTTTTCTATGTCATGCTAGAAAATATTTGAATATAATTAGCATTTTATATTATAAAATAACCAACAAAGAAGTGATGTATATCCCAAATAGATTTATTGTGCCATGTAAGATAATCATTATAGTAATATTATGTCTAACTTCTTAGCATATATTCATTTAACACATTTTTCAATGTAATAAAAAATTAAAATAACATATTAATTATCTAAAGCATATCCTTGCTATTTTACATATCTACAGCATATTACATTGCCCAAGTCTGTTTCAACAGTGTGATATTATGGTCTCAGATAACTACATATCTAAGGTTTCTTTCTTGTGAAAGAGAGGCTTCTGACATTTTTTTAAATATAAGTTTTCTTATTTAACAAATTTGAATCAACTATATAATTAAATTTAAAATAATGTAATTATGCATTTCTAATTAAATAAACATTATAATATATCACAAAGAGCATAAATTATTATAATATTGTGTCAATTGTCAAATTATAAATGATATAAAGTTATTTAAGAATTATTGAAAAAAACCTACTTATCAAACATTGCATATTAAAGGTAAATTATCAGTATTTTATACAACCAATTTAATTTTATGTCAAATATTTAAATCAGATTCATATACAATTTTTAATGTTATTTAGAAATCTATATCTGCAAGTAGTAAAAAGATGCATTAAAAGTATTTTGAAATGATTATTATTATTATTTAAACTGTCAATACAGATATATATAATCCATCTGTGTTGAACAATTATGTAATTATGCTTATTATCAGAGATTAATCATCTAGAAGACTTATCATTCTTGATAACTAAAATTTGATAAGAAATGCAGAGAATATAAAATAGCACTTAGTAAATGTGAATAAAATGCATATGCAAACGTATTAACCATATATACGGTTTCGTTAGCGTAAAGAATCTAATTAATATCAATAAGATAAGCTTGTTAAACATAAGGCTATGCAAACCTGATTTGTGGATAGTTCCTTGTCGAGTTCTACATAGCTGTTATGCCAAACGAGCCAATGTAGTGGATAATTCTTTCGTATAGTATCTATATTCACCATTTCTACGAGATTTGAGTGACGTTAACATACAATACGTTTATTTTAACAAGTACCACGAGTAAAATGCACGATACGAAATTTTGACAGCAGAATACATGACATTAGGCGAAAGGAGTAACAGTCATCGAACGTGAATGAGATTGTAAAGGAACACTGCTGTACAGTCTCGAATAGTGCCCTCTAGTGAGAAATGTATATCGGACTAAATATGGCGACTAATAGGAGACTAGACTTCTAGGGTCTCGACGTTAGAATTTGTCCAACGTTTATCGAGATTTACATTTATATAGATACACAGAGAAACCTGAAAGGGGCCACGCTGTCGTTTTTTGTACGACGCTTTTACTAAAGCACTAAAGATGTAGGTATTCTCACGTCTGCGCCAATTTCGCTCCATTCCCCCACTCCTTGCCCTATCGCCTTTTAGCTTCTTAGCTTGCCCTCGCTGAGCTAATGCCCCGTCTACATGCTGCCTTTAAGATAGTGTGTTGAAGAGATCTAATGTTAAATTGCGCGTGTAGCTGTGTTAAACTATCTTCAAGTGACGTACGGAACGGAACGGACGTACAAAACGAAACAAACGTACGGAACGAAACGGACGTACGAAACGGAACGGACGTACGAAACAAAATGGAACAGACGTACGGAACGGAACAGACGTACGGAACGGAACAGACGTACAGAATAGAACGGAACGGACGTACTGAACGGAACAAACGTACGGAATGGAACGGACGTGCGGAACAAAACGGACGTGCGGAACGAAACGGACGTGCAAAACGGACGTGACGTACGGAACGGGACGTGCGAAACGGAACGGGACGTGACGTACGGAACGAAACGTGACGTACGAAACAAGACGTGCGGAACGGAACGGGACGTGACGTACGGAACGGGATGTGCAAAACAAAACGGGACGTGCAAAACGGAACGGGACGTGCAAAACAAAACGGGACGTGCAAAACGGAACGGTACGTAACGCACAGAACGGGACGTGACGTACGAAACGGGACGTGCGGAACGGAACGGGACGTGCCGTACGGAACGTAACTTTTTTTCGTTTTTACACATTAGTTTCTAACAGTAATCGATTAAATTATTAAATAATATTTTCGACCAAAAAATATTATTTTATATTTATTTATAATATTCGTATATGTCAAACTTGCATTTTATTGCAAAATTGTAAAATTATTTTTTATTTTTCTATTGACACACTAGCGAGTATTCAGTATTTCTTTCTAGAATTATTAATTTAACATATGCGAATATTTTTAATAAATATAAAATAATATTTTTTAGCAAAAAAACATTATCTAATCATTTATTTTATTGTGCACAGTTAGAAAGAAAAGCGGAAATGCGGAAAAAAGTTGCAAAAAGTAGGTCTTGAACGCGTGATGTTTAATATTCTAGCGCGACTCGCCTTACTTGATTAGAAACGCATTTATCGTACGCTGTGTCGACCAAACGGCCGAACACACACGGACGCGTAACGTTCTCGCTTGTGTAGTGCTCATATGGTGGGGGCCCTGCCTCTCACGTTGCCTGTTGCACGGAGCTCGAGTTCGCATCTCTTTTTTACTATCCCAGAAAATGGATGTAACACGGACATGAACCAACCAGGGCTCTTTTTACCATCCCGGAAAATGGATGTGGCCATGTAGTTCCAGGCAGACTGCAAAATGGATGTACGCGTCGCTAGTGTACGGCCTAGTAAAAGTGTCTTATGAAAAACGGCAGGGTGGCCCCTCTCAAGTTTCTCTCTGATAGATATATCATTAAAAATTTTTACGTTTTTAATGTAATAATTTTAAAATTAGTATATAAAATCATACAGTATGCTTACATTTACTTCTGAATGAAGAAAATGCGTGTTCCAGATTGGACAAATTTGCAATGTGAAAAAAAAATTGCCTTTACGAACGCCAAGTGAAGTTACACAAATGAACGTGCTGAGCTCCCGGATCGCCGGGCAGTACCGATTGACGTCACCGATAGGCGGCCAAGATGGTTGTCAATGTTGATAAGTGGTTTAGTTACTCGGGGGATCTGCAGTGATAACGTTGCGTCTCAATACAGGAGTTCCGTGCGACTAGCGTTATGTCCGTTAAGTAAGGGCTTGTCTTCCTCCGGTCCGGTGAGGATCCGCGCGTTGGGTCGATCGCTGCGTGAGGGATGGCGGACAGCGAGGATGCGGAGCAGGAGACACGACGTGCTCTGGACTACGTACAGTCCATGATTGACATCTCCGCCGATCGACTCGAGGGCTTGCGGACCCAATGCTCCACCAGCGCGGAGCTCACCCAGCAGGAGATAAGGACGCTCGAGGTAATTCCGAGTCGATGGTTTCTCATGCGCGAGCAGCAGATCTGATTTGCCCGACGATCGTTGTCGAGCGCTCCAGCGCTCTCGATTTATGTTCCACAATGTGTGTTGATTGTCAACAAGTTGCAACTGTGATACCTTTCATCGTCTATACTTTGCTAATTTCGAAATCATTTCTTTGGCTAAAATAATAATAACTTTTCACTTTATTTATTATGCTTTGTGAGGTGTCAGCTATGTAAGTGATATATTTTATTTTTGAGAATGTTTTTCTGCTTTTTCCAACTTGTAATCGAGAAATCTGAAATTTGTAGTCTGATTTTATTAAAATATTAATCATATTAATTAGAGTTAATCTACAATTTTTGAGATTACAAACAATCATATATATATATATATATATATCATATTAAGATACTTATGGTAAAAATATATGAAGCAGAAGCTTACGATACAAAGTTTAGTACATCATACAATTTTTATCTTTAAAGTATTGAAACATTGAAATGCAACATTTTTTACTTAAGCACAATATAATTTATTTTGAACACATGTAGAGTAAACATAATATAGAATCATAAAAAATTTTTAACAAAATTATTTAAGATCAAATATGTACATAATACAAATTGTTACATTGCAAATTAGTGATAATATTTATAATGTACTGCAATAATATAGAGCAAGATGTTTATAGAATAAACCTACGTGTAAACACTGTTTATAGGGAAAATTAATAAAACTGTACTCTAAACAACTCGTGACAAAGGCCAAATTGGCCGATTCATTACCGGCAGAGATGAGACAATATCCATCATTACAACAATGGTTGCGGGTAGTTGGTCTCAACCAGGAATCGATTCAGGTAATGACATATATTATTGATATGAACAGACTTTACAATTTATTTATCTTAATTTAATACATATTATTTTGCTTCAATTTAAAAAGATTGACTCGCATTTAATTTTTTAAAAAATATTTTATTATAATATTTTAGATGGTTTGTTCCAAAGCTAATTCCCTTGAGGCTCTGAAAGAGAAGTCTGAGCATGAATTAAGTAGCATGTTAGGTGAAAATAATGTGCGACATGAGGAGGAACATCGTAGGCTCTGCCGAGCATTGCATAATTTACGACGATATACGGGTGAATAGAATTTAAAGCTGTTATGAAACAAAAAAGATATGTCTTATTTGTACGACTAGTATTACACGATTTGTTGTTAATCTTTATTAGATGTTCTTCTGAGAGGAGATATGGATAATAGTGATATGAATTTGTACTGGGATTCTTGGGATAGGCATCATTTACGCACGGGAGCTTCCCCTAGACCTATTCGATCTCGTACTACACGGTGTTCCGTTCCATCAGAAGATAGCATTCCATATCATAATAATAACAATCTGAACAGTGATATATTAGCACAAGCTTCTTCTGTAATCTCTTTGATGTCAACTAGTCCTCCCTGTACTCCTCCATTACCAAGACAAGGATATGGTAATTATAAAAAGATAGACATTTTAGCTACTTTTCATATGCTTATTATATTCAAAGATTTTATCAATCATATTTTAATGTGACATAAGACTTTATTGAAAATCTATATATATCATTGTATATGATATACAATGTGCCTTAAAATTTTATATTGGAGTACCGGCAATTTTTATCCATTAAATACAAATTTTTCTCAATTATAGGAATTAAATTCTCAACAACTCCTCCTCCATTCAAGAAGCATCAGATAGGTGTGCAGAACAGCACATCACAACCCGAAGTGTTTCCATTAACTAAGTCAAAATCTCATGAATCGCAATTAGCAAATCGTTTTGAAAATATGCATCTTGATAATGATGATACATCATCTAGGTAATACTTAAAATATTCATGTGTAATTTATTTTATATTTTAATTTTATATTATATAATATTTCTATAATATGCTGATATTTTATATTTTTAGTTCTGGAAATGACTCTTCTGTAAGAAGAAGAAATTGTCAACCAACAGAACCAAGTCTACCAAGTTCATGCTGTAGTACAACAGACTCTGGGAAAGGAGAAAGTCTCTTGCCAAACAGTAATAGTCCTATTAAATCACCACCTTACTCTAGTGCAGAAAGTGATGATAACAGTTTTAAGGGAACAGGTGCGTAAGAGAGAAAAGTTATATTTTAATGCGAATGTCATAGACTTGTCGTACATTTATGTAATATTTTCTTTCTTTTATTTTCAGTATCAAGTCTCCAAGTGCCAAAATCTCCACGTACTCCGACTGTGACCCGTGGTATGGGTCATATAATTGCTCACCGCTTTACCAAAACTTTTAACATGATGACAACATGCGACTATTGCGACAAGCAAATGTTTATGGGCACTACTTTAAAATGCAAGGAATGTAAATATAAGTGTCATCGAGAATGCGAATCCAAAGTACCACCCTCATGTGGCCTACCTCAAGAACTCTTTGATGAGTTTAAACGATCTGTTATTACGCAAAATGACGGTACGTACAAACTTTATGATTTAACGCATTGTTGACTATATATAATATAAACTTTCTTTTCATGTTCTTTTTAAATTGTATTGTATGCACAACAGATTTTAAAAGATAACTGATTGTCTAATATAATGAATTATAAAAAAAATATGTTTTTTAGGTATGATAAATGCTTCCCCGATATTAAGCAAGCCTGGTATAACATCTCCGAATCACCACAACTCAAATTTATTAGCTTCTTTAAATCGAAGGGATCGAAGACGATCACATGCACACTCTTCTATGAATATACCTTTTCAGGTATGTTATAATTTATACACAGATATTTCTTAGTAAATTTTTTATAATAAATATTGGTATTTTACATCAGATATGGATTATTTTTTGACAATGTAATACAAATGAAATAATGTAAAATTTTATATACACAGTTCCGTATACCATTCTTATATAATTATTGTTTATATTTATTAGGGCGCAGATTCTAGTTCAAATACCTCGAGCTGTAACAGCTCAACGCCTTCTAGTCCAGCATTGCTATCTGCCAATACTAGCCAGACTCCACAGGCCCCTGTCAAACAGCAATTCCATTTTCCAGGTAAGACAAAGCATTATATTCAAAATTAAAATATATTTATGTAGAAGAATATATATACAGGGTGGTCCACGCAACTGGGCTGAGTTCTAGTATTTGTTTTGTTGAAGATAGAAAAAATGATAGAGGCAAAAGTGAATGACGTAACAAGAAAAATTTTTCTATCGACTCATTTTTGTCGTAAGTGCAATGGTGCACCAAAAAGTGTAATTTCACTTAAAAAAAAAATATAATTATATAATTTTATTATATTATTATAAATAGGTGGGCCACTCTGTATAGAGAAACTAATGTATTTGTCATATTATAAAATGATTTATTCAGGCATATTAGTTATCCTGGTTTCAGATGTACTGAATGAAAAAGGAGTGACATTGGAAACACACAGATTTGAAGGTACGACTATGTCAAGTGATAGTGACAGGACGGTAAGTGTTTCGGGATCTGGCAGTGTCAGCACAGATTCAGAAAGGACACCAGTGAGAGTTGATTCTCAGGATTCTCAAGTTTCTGATAATGAAATAGCTTCGGAAATGAGTCGTTGGCCTCGACAAAATAGTGTATGTACTAAGCCTTGTCAAAATCTTGATAAAAATATAAGATGTTTAACAAATAAATTTTATGTCTCAAATTTGCGTAGTTGTCGATGCGAGAGTGGGACATTCCATATGACGAATTGAAGATCGGAGAACCAATTGGAACAGGAAGATTTGGTACGGTATACCGAGGCAATTGGCACGGAGATGTTGCAATTAAAGTCTTGAATATGGATTATTATTTGGACGATGATAAGATATTAGAAGCATTCAAATTAGAGGTAAAAATATACGATTATGTCAATTGTAATACAATTTGAAATTATTGATGATATAAGAGATGTTTTATTTTGATTATTATAGGTAGCCACATTCCGAAAAACTCGACACGAAAATCTAGTTTTATTTATGGGAGCTTGTATGAAACCTCCTCGATTGGCTATAGTGACTAGTATGAGTAAAGGCATGACACTTTATACTCATATTCACTTACGAAAAGATAAATTTACTATGAATAAAACTACTAATATAGCTCAACAGATTTCTCAGGTATGTACGATCGTCAGGTATGTATTAATACAGCCATTTCTTAGTTACACTATTTGTTTGGATATATAATATTATATATTATTTTTTAGCAATTAAATAAAAAAATTAAATAAATAAAAACATCTTAAAAGGTTTTTAAAAATATATGAATATTACTTAACTTTTAATTAAGACATTAAAAATTTTAACTTAAAAATTAAAACTAACTTAATAGTCTTATGATTGGATAGTATTAAACAATATTTTTATCTTATGGGATTTTTTTATCTAGGGTATGGGATATCTTCATGCTCGTGGAATAGTACACAAGGATCTTAAGAGCAAAAACATATTTTTAGAAAATGGAAAAGTTGTAATCACAGACTTTGGTCTGTTCAGCGTTACCAAGTTGTGCTATGGAAATAGGTAATTTTATAATCGTATAACGTGAGATAAAATTTATTATATTTATTCTAAATAAGTTGTGCTTTTACATTTTTATCACTTTATCTGTATCTTTAGGAAGGGAAATGGATTGAGTATACCACCTGGCTGGTTGTGTTACTTAGCACCTGAGATTGTTCGACGATTGAGACCGCAACAAAACCGGGATCAGGAAGAGTTACCATTTACAGCTGGTTCTGATGTTTATGCATTTGGGTTAGTAATTCTAATTTATTTTACTACAAAACATACATATGCACAATATGATGCAACAGAAAAATGTGCTCAAAAATGTATTTCTCTAATGCCTTGTTTATAATTAATGCATGCTATTATATATTCTATCTGTAAATGATAAACACAACTTGGTAACAGTATTAAAAAAAAATGTTACAATAGATATATCTGAATATAACGAAAAATGTAGCACCAATTTTAAAATTATAATTTCTGACAGGACTGTCTGGTATGAGTTATTATGTGGTGAATGGCCTTTTAAAGGCCAACCTCCCGAAGCTATTATTTGGCAAGTCGGGAAAGGAATGAAACAACCTTTAGCAAATTTGCAAGCTTCCCGCGATGTAAAGGTACTGTCCGTTTAAAACTATCCATGTGTACATCTGTAAACGTTGAATATTATTACCTTTTATAAGTCCTGCATTTTATTTACAAAAGTTATGCGAATAATAATTTTTTATAGGACATTTTGATGCATTGCTGGTCATACCACGCAGAAAATCGACCCGATTTTGCGAAGCTATTAACTACACTTGAAAAGCTGCCTCGCAAAAGGTTAGCACGTAGTCCCTCTCATCCTATACATCTTTCTCGTTCTGCAGAATCTGTGTTTTGAACACATTTAAGTCTATTTAAATACGCTGTTGTTCTCGTAGTGTAAATATAGAACTGTGCAATTATTGCCAGGTCTTTGTTCGTGAAAAGTAAAATAAAAATCACTGAAAGGTTTGCTCGTTTGTATTATTAATTTATTAAAATGTGCAATGAAAGAATATTAATGTTAATACAATAATTGAGATTGTTAATAAATTGTTGCAAATCAAATATATATCTTTTATTGTGAATAATCATGATACTAAAGTTTAAGAAAATATGCACTTTTTATAATTTATATTTAAATATATCTACATAAAATGTATGTCAAATCTACAGATTTATGAATAAGTGCATAATCTTAAAATTGTTTTTATTTCTATATATATTGTAAAATAGTTCTTCAGTGCACGTTTTAAGAAATATTGGTTAAATTTTTTTCTCAGATAATATTGTATATACACTTTATTGAGAATAATAGATGATAAATAATTTGTTTTAAATAAATGAATTATAAATAGAATTGTCGGATAAATAATGCTTTGTATCTATCAATAATTATAACAAAATGAAAAAATATATAATAATTGTCTCTTAAATATATAAAAAATAACATTATAACTTTGCAACTGCATTACCTGAATCGCAATTTACACTGAAATTATTTACCCGAAATATTTATTTTAATTTATTTTATGATTTATTTCAAAATCTCGAAATATTTTTGAGAGTTTAAATTCCTTTTTTTAATTATTATAAGCAAAAGTACATAAATAATTTTTATTAATAGTATAGGACATAGCTCGTTAATTTTGATACGCTTGTGTATTTTAAATATAAAAAATTAATAGTCTTGTGTCGGAACTTTTGTTCATTGCGTCTTGCTAAAAATAGTTTTCACAATATTTGACCTAATTTATATTTTTATTCAAAATAAATGAAGAAATACAAACAGTAGAAAAAATATATATACACAATAAAATTTTTATTAATATAATATATTACTTTCAAATACAATGCAAATTCTTATTTTGATAGTAAAATAAAAAAATTATATCTTAGTGATGAAAGTCAATGTCAAATCAGATATTTCTTTTTGTTTAAAATAGGATCAAATAAATTATCAAACTATTAAATATAATTAATGTCAGTTTCGTAAATATTTATTTTTACCTGAAATCTTATTTATATTACTTAATTATAGCTTATTGGGGAAAAAACAAATCATTTATATTCACAAGTTATTCGTTTCGTAACTTATATTATGATTTAAACAATAACATCTGAAAAATTTTTATCCATTATATATTTTTTGTAATTCTTGTAGCTGTCTTTGAAGGTGCATAGCACGTAATTTGTTTAATGCTATTCTTTTTTCCAGTGTTTGTACCAAAGGTTTTGTAATAATATCTGTTATATGAACCAAGGCACGTGTTCTGACTGAAAATGAAAATTATTCATATTAATTTTAATTTATATTTGTTTCTAATCTCACTGCTATTTAGATTAATTATTTTACTGATGCATACCAGCGTTATTGTGAATACTGGCAAGGACATCGGGATGATCTTTACAAGCCTCAGCCATATCTTCTTCTTCTTGTACCAAAATTTTTGACAAGTCTGTCATGGTCTGTAATATTTATATTTTTAGGTAAGAAACAATTTTTTAATTATTCTAAATTTTTACTAATATAAACAATTACTAATAAAATACTAATATAATATAAAAAATTAGAATCTTACTCTTAAACATCTGTCTGAAATATCTGGAGTATGTACTATCTGTAATGGTATCTCTGTGGCTTCACCGTTGTCTGATTGAAAGCAATTTAAATAGATTTCATGTTCCTATAATACAAAAAGATGGCTATTATATCAAGGATTATTATCATAATCTACATACATCGACAAATTCGAATATACCACAAGCTATCGCATATAATTTCAAAAATTTTAATATTTAAACATTTGTAATAGAGTAATTTACTGTTAGATAAAATTAAATAAATTTCTTTTTCATCTACATAGGCCACTTGGATAGTTATTACTAGTATTTTGTTTGTCGATATAAATATTAAAAAAAATATATGTACTTTTGATTCTTTGCCTTCTGAAAATACTGAGAATATTAAGCCCACAAAACTGTGATCCATGGTTTGGTAAGTAGCTTGAGTTCTAACATCTGCAAAATAAAAATAATTTTATATAAAATTTTTTAATGCATACTATATTGAGTGCTTTTAGTTAAAGAAATATTTTTGATACAAACCAACATGTGACGGACAAACTGTAATGTGTGGGTGTGAATGATACCAGCCAAGAACACGCATAGGGCGCTTTAATTCTATTGTTAATCGCTCAGCTTCAGCAGCAGCTTTTAATAACTGCTCTGATGAAATTTCTACCCTGTCTTTCTTTTTATCTAAACGTCGTAAAATGATAACAGCTGATATTTTAGCTACTCCACATTCAAACTAAAAGGGGAATAATTTATCTTATCAATATTATAAGAAACAATGAAATGCACCAAGCGCAAAATATTAAAAGTTCAACGTACGTTACCAATGAGTAAACCCATCACTTCAAAGTTTTCTGTTGATAATGCATGTTGCAAACAAACCATATAAACATCTGTTTGCAGCTCCACTTTTTGCAATGGTAAATTATCCATTATTTATGAAGATATTAATCCTGTGGAAATAATAATATTGAAGTATAAATTAGTATTTGTTGAATTTTACAATTGCATTTGAGATAATACATTTATCTCCTATGTTTAGATTAATGGAGTAAAATAAATCTTTTGAGTTAAAACAGAACTGTAATTTAAACAGTATCGAATAACATATTTGTTATTTCAGTGCAGCATCTGCATTCAATTACTTTTCTGACAAATATACTATTACATATTCCTTTCATTATGCACACAATTGATTAATTGAGGAAGCATAACCTATACCACTTCTAACTTGATGTTACACATCGTCAATTTATTGGACATTGAATCAAGTGTATTCATATATGTGTAATCACATTTCGAATCGTGTTTTACTGCAGGTTAGTATTATTAAAAGTGCATCAAATATAACCCACTTTACCTTTCAAAGTAATACTGTATCTCTCTATCTTTTTATTTGATAAACGATGCTACTGACTGAGTTGGCGGATTCGATTTCGGGTAAATGATACACCTACGCCCGTTGCAGTGAAATGCAGATCGATAAATCTCTTCTCTGTCGAATCGATCTCGCATTTCTTGCTTTCTTGATCGTTATTAATTTAACTTTTTAACTTTTTTCATTTTGATTTATGCTTGCCAAAAAAAACGTTTATCGCCTCGTTGAGCGCAGCGCTGAGTTAAGAATAGTTCCCAATTAACGAATTAGTAACCACATTAGCTAAAACGAGCATCGTAATATTCGATAAGTGCGAAGTCTAAAAGTATATTTTTCCTATTGCGTTACGTGAATAAAAATAAATTGTTTTCACATGATATATGCAATGAAAAGAAAATTGCTAACAAATCAATTTTAATCAATTCCACTGATTTGACCTATTGTTTGCATGACAAATTCATAATAGTTATATCATATGCAGTTTATATATTTACTACATCGGCATCCGTATGCAGTATGCATTTTACGCGCGCAACGAAATACTCGACACACACTAGTGGCGCAACACAATATATGCGTACATAATATATACTTAGATATTAGGTTGCTCATAATCCCACTCGAATCTTACTTTGGTATTCAATTAAAGGTGGTGTGATGCGCGTCGTGTGATGCTCAGAGATGATGGTAATCAGTTTTTTGTCATCGTATGGCGAGGTAAAGTCAATTGGTCTATAAGGTTATGTCACGTTGCTCGTCGAACGTTGTTTAAGATAACGAGGTAGTTAAATAACGATAATTTTGAACTTGTGAATTATATTGTTCCAAATAGCGTGACGCGGATAACAACAGGAATTGGTCGCGTCATGGTAAACGATAAATTGCCGAGTAATACGGGAAATAAGTATTCTCGAGTAAATGTGGAGCAGGACAATTCGACGGATACGCGCGTGAAAGCAACGATGCCTTCGGAGCTGAGGTCGGTCAGTGCAGGTGACTGGATTACAGTCTCTGTCCTCTGCTTTGTAAATCTTATAAATTATATGGATCGCTTTACGGTCGCTGGTGAGTCTTGCTTTGTTTTATGAACATATTGGATTACCTAAAAAATTGTTGATAAAATGTTATAAATAAGTTTCTGTATGCAAAACGTTATTTTGCCACTATTTTTACGAAAAGAACAAGCAATAAAGTCAATTATTTTGTTACAGGGGTACTAACTGATATCAAGAAAGAATTTGATATTGGTTACGATATGTCTGGATTATTACAAACTGCATTCATTTTGAGCTATATGGTGTTTGCACCATTATTTGGATACTTAGGGGATCGTTACAATAGAAAATATATCATGAGCAGTGGTGTATTCCTGTGGTGCCTAACAACATTTATCGGTTCATATATGAATGTATGATTTCTTTTGTTATGATTTCTTTAATATGTGATAAATCTTATCATCTTACAATCTTATCATCAAAATAAATCCATAACCAAATACAAATTAAGAATTTTATGTATAAATTGTATACAGTTATTGAATACATTAACAAATTTATTTCAGCTGTATGTAATAATGTATTGGTATGAAGTATATATAATATTTTTAATCTATTGCAGACATATGGATGGTTCCTATTCTTTAGGACACTTGTTGGCATTGGAGAAGCCAGTTATTCCACAATAGCACCTACAATAATTAGTGATTTATTTGTGAAAGATGTAAGATCTAAAATGCTTGCTCTCTTCTACTTTGCTATTCCAGTTGGAAGGTATATTGATTATGTAATTTGAATATATATATTGTAATACATATATACTTACATATATATATGCAAATTTTTTATTTTAGTGGTTTAGGATATATTACTGGAGGCGAAACAGCTCGTATCACGGGTCAATGGCAGTGGGGATTACGTGTTACTCCTATATTAGGTGTTATAGCAATACTCCTGTTACTCACTGCAATAAGAGATCCTATTAGAGGTGAACGAGAAGGTGGTGTTCATTTGACGAGCACTGCATGGTCATATGATATTAAAGCATTATCCAAAAAGTAAATATATTTTTGCTATTTCTATATTATATTTC